CATCACGTGGTTGTGATGATGGTGGTGGTGATGATGATGGTGGTTGTGGTGATGGTGTGTATATATATTTGTGTGTGTGTGTGTGTGTGTGTGTGTGTGTGTGTGTGGTTGTTTAACTATCATTGAGTCTGTCTGTCTTTCTAACCATTAATATTATTACAGGTAGACAGACACACATACAGACACATACATAATATTACAGTTATTATTATTAGTTTTATAATGGCCAACAAAACAAATCCACTAACGACTATCATATTTCATAATCCTCAACCACCGTCTTCGCAGCCATATAGTCGAGGTAACAATGGCAATAGCGTTAACAACCACAGCGGTCCAGTAACTGATAACAGTAAATCTCTTAATTGAAGCTCCACGTATTGAATAATTTGTTCAGTACATATGTCACCAGCTGCCAACAGCTGATTGATATAAACATTAGCTCGTGTCCAACTATCATCAGCTGCTCCACGTAAACAACGAGTGTAAACGTTCCCGGTCATCAACAGCTGATGTATATAATCATTGGATTTAAACACTTCCAAATGTCATCAGCTGATCCACGTAAACACTGACATTAGAAGTACTTGGGTACATACAAAGGCGTGTTAGTTACTAGACCAGCGAGGTCATCCTAAAACTATATATTGCGCTTGTGTGATCTCACTTGGATTACGCGGTTCAGTTCTCGTCACCGTACTGCAGAATGGATATAGAATAGGGTTGCTCATTTTTCCCAATTTTAGAAAATTGTGGGTGGGGGTGTTTTTTCCCATTATTTCGTTACTCCTAAATTCATTGGTGCCAGAATTAATGAAGTCCAACATGTTCTAGGGGTCGCGAATCCAAATATAAAAAATGAATTTTTGCGAAAATACGTCAAAACTCAAGCTTTTTCTCTTATAGATCAGCAATCGCGCTGCTTTTCACTACTTAACCCTAATGGCTGGCTAGAGCAGCTATTCAGCTTTCCATTGACACCTAATTCGATTGCATGCACCTCTTAGTTGACTTTCTAGTTCAGGTCAAAGGCTTTACCCGCGTTAAGGGAACCAGATTCCAAAATATTCATAGTTTTGACTTTTCCATTTATTCGAAAACACATATCAATATTTTGCCGTCACAGTCTTTTCCATGATATATTTCCCTCTTAAAAAAACACACATCATTGAAATAGGTCAATAACTCTAGGAGGAGATGCAATTTGAAAGTTCAATCCCCCCCCTCTATTCAACTCTCACAGTTGCATCAGAGCAGACTTGCTGAAGCCACTCATCTGCTTCCTGTGCTTTTCCACAAGTTGCATGACATCCTGCAGCTGCTGCTCATCCTTCGTGACTGAACCAATGAAGTCCTGCATAAGCTTTATTCCCCTTTCGGCCACGTCATTGGTTACCTTCAGGCTTCTGGAGAAATCTTTCAGCTTCATGAACTCTTCGTTTTTCTCCCAGTCTTCCACCGGTGACATCAGCCATGCTGTGCCGCACACATGATGCTCCTTGAAGATCATCCATGAACGTTCATCTATCAGGTCGGAAAGCCGTGTAGTCTGTTGGATGACCAAGTTGTCGTTGGCGTAGTCGTTCGTTTCTTCTAGGCAGCTCAATTTGGTCGCCATCTCCTTTTTCTCTGCCGCACTCAACTTCTCGCTGCACAGCGACAGAACGACGGTCTGTGGCCTTAGATACCACAGGTGGCGGCTCGCGACCGCCAGCGCTGCATCAGCCACCTCACAGTCCAAGGCCCTATAGCGGAGGAGTTCGTGATGCAGTTGCAGGTCATTCACAGGCGCATCCTCGGCTACTGGTGATTTCAGCCACGCCGGTGTGTACAGCAGAGACACAAAGATCGCCATCCTCTGCAGCTTGACGCACAGGTCACTGCTGAGCTCTAGCTGGTGGCTAAACATGTAGATCTTGAGGTAGTATATGATTTTCGCCATCCAGCGAGCGTGGTGACATGCGCCAGGACGCAGAAAGTGCGTGCCGCGCGGAGGATTCACACCGAGGACGAGGAGCGTTAGTTCTGCCGCTTCTCGGTAATCCTCTCTGGCCCATTCTGTGACGGTCAGCAGGTAGCTAACGGTCCTGTGTCGGAGGTGACTGAGCTAGTCAGACTCTGGTAGATTTGCAATGTCCAGCCTGAGATACTGAGAGTGATCTAGTTGACTCCACCTTTTCTTAAGAGTCTGGAAGAGAGGGTCCGTAGGGGCCGATGTTTTGCCGAAGATGTTGCTGGCAGCGGCTCTCACCACCAGTTCCACGACGTGGTGTCTGCACCCAAGCCTCAACAGCTGTTTTTCCAGCAGCGCCTCCAGATGGACAACCGCACCTTGGACTCGCCCTGTGTTGGACGACGTTGTATCAAAGCACAGTGCCTTGACGTTTGAAGCGCAGCCCCAGTCCTCGATAGCACGAGCTGTTGCGCGTGCCTGGGTCAGGCCAGTGCCGTCCTTCACTGGCAAGACAGCAAGCAGCTTCCCTTCCTCATGGCCGCGCCCTGAGATGAAGATGGCCTGTCGGTGTTCTTTTTCTCCCACGACGTTCTGAAATGAGAGAAATATAAAAATTCAGACAGATAATGAAGAATTATCAAGGCTGCCTTTTTCTCCAAGCTTTTTGTTAATGATTTGATACATTTCTAACAATATATTACAATAGTCTAGGCTTTGGTAAAATATTAATGTAGTACCTAAACGTGTTCTCACCTTAACCAGCTTACCATCCCAGTGCACCACTGCATGTGGTGGAGGCGTGAAGGCTTCCCTTTGTGCGGCAGCTACCTGACGACGGTGTGAAGCTCGCGCCCGTCTCGCAGTCTCTCTCGAGATCCGGAACTCAGACAGATCGCCTGGCGGGTTAGCAGAGCGCAGCACTGCTGCGACCACCGAAACTATCTGCGAGCAAAAGCAGGCAAGGGTGTCAGTAGAAAATGTCGACTGTTTAAGTGCTTATCAAATAATTAACAGAAATTTCAAACATTCCAAACACATTTATGGATACACTTACTTCGTTATTGGATATCCGAAGACGGTCAGCGAGTTCCTTTAATGCTGGCTCTTGGAGAATGCGACGTGGAAGCTGAACCGTCACATAAGGGTGCTTTGATGTGTACCTGCCAGGTTGTATCGCTGTGTCCTTTTTCTCCATTTCTACTTCCGTTGGGGTGTCAGCCACCACAGAGGTTTGAGGTCTCGAATCACTGCTGCTTGGTTCACAGGCTGCGAACCTTCCCTGTTTCGACCTTTGCTTCTCGACTCGTTCCTCCTGCTTTCTCTTCTTAGCGGCAAAAATCTTATCGTTACCACTCATGAACGCTTTTCTTTCTCCGCGTTGGTCTTGATAGAAGGCGATGTCTTGTTGTTTGTCGGCCGGTGTAAGCAGCCGGTTCTTCTCGATGTCCTCTACGGCGTCCGGTGCTCCGATGTCCTACAACAGGTCAAGTTGAGACTTGAAGTTTTCAACCTTGTCCTTTGCAGCCCTGTCCCGACTTTTTTGTAGACTTCTCCAGTGCTCCCATAACCTTGTCAGCTTCTCCCGGCACCCCCTCTCTGAGATAGTCTTGATGCGAGCTAAATTCCAGAACGTGAGTACGTTTCTCACTGTTTCTTTAAACGTCTCCTGTCTGTCACCAGATTCATTCACTGTGTGAAAGAAGAACTTCAGGAGTTGACGCATCGTCGGGAGTTTACTGCCTCTAATTGACGATTCTATATTATAGAATCCCTAGAAAGATTTCAGAGGAGAATGACGAGACTAATCCAGGGCAATAGTAACCTTAAGTAGAGAGACGTATTAAAGCATCTTAATTTGCACTCCCTCGAGAGACGTAGAGTGAGGGATGATATGATCGAGGTATATAAATGGAAGTCAGGGCTAAACAAAGGTGATATAACAAATGTACTCTAACCACCCAACAAGGACCGAACTCGTAACAATGGTTTTAAATTAGACAAATTTAGATTTAGGCGCTAAATAGGTAAACATTGGTTTGGAAATAGAGTAGTGGGCGAGTGGAACAAGTTACCAAACATCATCATTAACTCGAATACGCTGGATAGCTTCAAACATATATAGTTGGGCGGATATATGAGCGATTGGGGTTGGGTGTAAACGGGTCTGGCCAGTATGGGCCAATAGGCCTGCTGCAGTTTCCTCCATTCTTATGTTCTTATGTTTTTCCCTAAGAGGTTTTTGGTTCTTCAAGCAAAAATTTTTTTTTTTTTTCTAGAAATGAAAATGACTGAAATTTAAAAGAAAAAAATCACAATTTGGGGGGTTTAAGTAGATGGATGGTAAGAGGGGGGAAAGGGGGGAGGAGGGGTGGGTAGGGAGCTGATCAATGGATTAAATATTTGATCAACTTAAAGGAGATGGATTGTGTCTCACCCTCACTCTCCCTCCGGCGACACTATATCATCATCATCATTCATGGTTATCAAATTTTCTTTTCCTTATTATTAATTCTTATATTCCTGTTATTATATCTTATTTCATTCCTTCCTTTCATCCTATTTTCATTCCTGTATATTTTACTTTAATTCATTCGTTCTTAATTTGATTTCTTCATGTTTTTCTGATTCTTTCAATCCTGCTATCATTCCTGCTTTCATTCATGTATTTATACTGTAATTCATTCATTCTTTTTTTCATTCCCATATTCATTATTTTATTTTTGTTATCAATCCTGATTTCAATCTTTCATTCCTGTATTAGTTCCTTATTTCGCAACTTCATTATAATTCCTGATTTCACACCTTTTATTCCTGTTGTTATTTTTGTTTTCATTTGTAATTATGTTGCTTCAATGGTTTATGCACTTACTCGCGTTTCCACTGTGTGTGTGTGGGGGACGTTGTTGTGAAGGGTTGTAATTTAAGTTGGGGAACTGGCGAGACAGACAGACAGACAGACATAGTATGGGGGGATGAGAGAGTAAGATAAACCCCCAACTTCACATCTTCCCCACAGGTAACCCCCAACTTCTCATCTTCCCCACAGGTAGGGGAACAGGTGAACAACGTGCTGCCCAAGATCCCACTGGGGTTGCAGGAGGCTGTGGTGAGATTGGTCAGTCGAGACTCACGGCAGAGACCAACATCACAGCTGGTGGCCCTCATCAAGTACTTCAGGTGAGTGTCAAGGAGAGGTAAGAGTGGGGAGAAGTAATGGAGAAGTATGGGGGGTGGGGGAGCTACGAAGGGGTGGGGAAGTTGGGAGGGGAAGAGGTTACGAGGGGGAGGGAGAGTAACGAGGGGGAGGGAGAGTTGGGAGGGAGTGGGAGAGTTAGGAGAGGTGGGAGAGGTATTTGAGACACTGTAGAAAGGAGTGAGGGAGAGGGAGTGGGATGAGAGAGAAGGGGGGAAGTGGGATAAAAGTGAAAAGGAGGAGAGAGAAAGGAAGGATGTCAGAGAAGGGAAAGGCATATGGGAGACTGAGAAGAGAAATGGAAACCTGACAAGATGGCTGGAACGGAGAGAAAAGGGGAGGCGATAGAACTGGGGAGAGAGGGAGAGGGAAGAGAAGGAGAGGAGAGAAAGGAGAGCAGAAAGAACTAGTGAGAGAGGGAGGGGGGGGAGAGGCGAGAGAGAGAAGAAGAGAAAGAACCAGGGAGAGCGAGAAGGAGAAGAAAGAGAACTATGGAGGGAGAAGGAGAGAAGAAGAAAGAGAACTCTGGAGAGAGCAGGAGAGGAGAGGGAGGAGAAGAAAGAGAACTATGGAGAGAGCAGGAGAGAAGAAGAAAGAGAACTCTGGAGAGAGCAGGAGAGGAGAGGGAGGAGAAGAAAGAGAACTATGGAGAGAGAATGAGAGGAGAGGAGAGAGAACTAGGGATAAAGAGGAAGAAAAAAGTTATCTCCCCCAATTGTGCTTTTATTCTTTAATCATTATTCAGTGGGGCATGGAAGGGGGCGAAGGACCAGAGGGGAGAGGGCAGAAAAAGGGCAATTGCAAGGGGAGTGAGAGGGCAGAAAAGGGCAGGTGTAAGGGTAGTGAGAGGAGAGAGGGGGCTGTTAGAGGACAGAAAGGACATATATAAGAGATGAGGGCAGAAAGAGGCAAGTGTAAGGGGAGTGAGAGGGCAGAAAAGGGCAAGTGTAAGGGTAATGAGGGGAGAAAGGGCAAGTGTAAGGGTAAAGAGGGAAGAAAGGGCAAGTGTAAAGGTAGTGAGGGGAGAAAGGGGGACACGAAGAAGACAGGAAAGGCGGATATAAGAAGAATGAAAGGTACAGGAGTCGAGGAGAATATAACAAGTTTAAAGGGGTGGATTAGAAAAGGGTACAAGGTCTATTTAAAAGGGTCTGGGAAGGGTGACAAGAGGCGAAGGAGGGAGAGAGAAAGACCCACTGAGTGTGTCTGAAAAGAAACTCTATAATTTAATTTTAAGGGTTTAAATACAACACATTTCAATGGTGAAGAAATAAGGTATTGTATTTTAATGGTAAAAGCCTATAAAGGCAACATAATTTATTACATTTTATTGGTAAATGTTTCATAATTCTAATAAATTAGATAGATAAAATGGTAAAGTTTATAAATTTTAGTAGAATAAATTAATTAGTTTATTGATCTAAGCGTTTCAGTAGGAATTCATAAATAAATTACATTTAATTGGAACATGTTTAGGTATAGGAATAATTTAATTAGATTTAAATTTTAAGATATCTCAACACTTTACTGGATCACAGATAAAACATAAATTTACACAAGGACAAAGGAATAATAAGAGAAGATGGGGTAAAGAGAAGAGAGGGAGATAGGATGAAAGATGAAAAAAAGAAACGGGAGGAGAGAGGAAAGGGAAGTAAGAAGAATGTAAGAGGGAGAGGAAGACACGAGTGCTGAAACATGCAGATTGGTAACGTGAAGAGAAAATGTAGGGAAGAGAGAGGTAATGACGGGAGGGAGACAGAGAGAGAGAGAGAGAGAGAGAGAGAGAGAGAGAGAGACGGAGACAGATAAACAGTGACAGAGATGAGGAGAGGTAGGTGAGAAAACATGGTTGACGATGAAGGGGGACAAAAGAGGTGGTGCGGTGATGATGTGAGGTAAGGAGAGAGGAGAAGGTTGAGGTAAGGTAGGGTAAGGGGGGAGAGAGAGTTTAAGGTAGGGTAAGGGGGGAGAGAGAGTTTAGTTTTCTAGTTTAACAAATTTATTGACAAAGCTTGTAGTACAGTTTGCCTATTCTGAGTAATTCAGTCAGGTCTTGACACTGAGGGTGGTATCACTTCTCACTGCCATGCAGAACAGAGGTTCACACACAAAGAAATGCATCCTTATTCATTAGCTGTATATATAGGTGAGATTCATGTGGGTAATAGAGAGAGAGAGAGAGAGAGAGAGAGAGAGAGAGAGAGAGAGAGAGAGAGAGAGGTGAGGAAAGGAGTCAGAGAGAGGAGGGGTGAGGAACGCTGGTTGATGGACTGATATTATGATAATGAGCAGACGGTGAGAATAAACATGAGTGTAAGAGTGAACATGAGTGTGAGAGTGAACATGAGTGAGTATGAGAGTGGACATGAGTGAGTGTGAGAGTGAACATGAGTGAGTGTGAAAGTGAACATGAGTGAGTGTGAGAGTTAACATGAGTGAGTGTGAGAGTGAACATGAGTGATTGTGAGAGTGAACATGACTGAGTGTAAGACTGAACATGAGTGATAATGATTGAGGATGAGTGAGTGTGAGAGTGAACATGAGTGATAATGAGCTAACATGTGAGTGAGAGGGGGAATCTGAGTGAACATGAGTGAGTGTGAGAGTGAACATATGTGAGAGTGAGCATGAGTGAGTGCTGATAGTGAACATGACTGAGTGTGAGAGTGAACATGAGTGATAATGATTGAACATGAGTCAGTGTGAGAGTGAACATGAGTGATAATGATTGAACATGAGTAAGTGTGAGAATGAACATGAGTGAGAGTGAGTGATCATGAATAATAATAATTGAACAAGAGTGTAAGAGTGAACATGAGTGATAATGAGTGAACAAGAGTGAGTGTGAGAGTGAACATGAGTGAGTGTAGGAGTGAACATGGATGAGTGTGAGAGTGAACATGTATGCGTGTGAGAGTGAACATGAGTGAGTGTGAGAGTGAACATGGGTGAATGTGAGAGTGAACATGAATGAGTGTGAGAGTGAATATGGGTTATAATGATTGAGCATGAGTTAGTGTGAGAGTGTACATGAGTGATAATGATTGAACATGAGTGATAATGAGTTAACATGTGAGTGTGAGAGGGAACCTAGGTGAACATGGATGAGTATGAGAGTGAACATGAGTGACTGTGAGAGTGAACATAAGTGAGTGTACGAGTCAACATGAGTGAGTGTGAACATGAGTGAGTGTGAGTGTGAACATGAGTGATAATGATTGAACATGAGTCAGTGTGAGAGTGTACATGAGTGATAATGATTGAACATGAGTGATTATGAGAGTGAACATGAGTGATAATGAGTTAACATGTGAGTGTGAGAAGGAACCAGAGTGAACATGAGTGAGTGTGAGAGTGAACATGAGTGATAATGAGCGAACATGAATAATAATGATTGAACAAGAGTGTGAAAGTGAACATGCGTGATAATGATTGAACATGAGTCAGTGTGAGGGTGTACATGAGTGATAATGATTGAACATGAGTGAGTGTGAGAGTGAACATGAGTGATAACGAGTAAACATATGAGTGTGAGAGGGAACGTGAGTGAACATGAGTGAGTGTGAGAGTGAACATGAGTGATAATGAGTGAACATGAATGATAATGATTGAACAAGAGTGTGAGAGTGAACATGAGTGATAATGAGTGAACATGAATGATAATGACTGAACAAGAGTGTGAGAGTGAACATGTGTGAGAGTGAAAATGAGTGAGTGTAAGAGTGAACATGAGCTTGTGAGTGAACATGAGTGTGGGAGTGAACATGAGTGTGAGAGTGAACATGAGTGTGAGAGCGAACATGAGTGAGTGAGAGTGAATATGAGTGAGCGTGAGAGTGAACATGATTGTGCGTGAGAGTGAACATGAGTGAGTGTGAGAGTGAACCTGAGTGATAATGAGTGAACATGAGTGTGTAAGAGTGAATGCAAGAGTGAACATGAGTGAATGTGAGTGAAGATTTGTGATAATGATTGAACTTGAGTGAGTGTGAGAGTGAACATGAGCGATAATGAGTGAACATGAGTGAGTGTGAGAATGAACATGAGTGATAATACATGCACATGAGTGTGTGAGTGAACATGAGTGATACTGAGTGTAAGAGTGAACATGAGTGTGTGAGAGTGAACATGAGAGTGTGAGAGTGAACATGAGTGAGTGTGAGTGAATGAGCATGAGTGAGTATAAGAGTGAACATGAGTGAGTGCAAGTGAACATGAGTGAGTGTGAGAGTGAACATGAGTGAGTGTGAGAGTGAACATGAGTGAGTGTGAGAGTGAACCTGAGTGATAATGAGTGAACATGAGTGAGTAAGAGTGAACATGAGTGAGTGTGAGAGTGAACTTGTGAGTGTGAGAGTTAACATGAGTGAGTGTGAGTGACCATGAGTGTGAGAGTGGACATATGTGGGAAAGTGAACATTGAGAGTGAACATGAGTGAGTGAGAGTAAACATTAGTGAATGAAAGTGAACATGAATGAGTGAGAGTAAACATGAGTTAGTGTGAATGTGAGTGAGTGTGAGAGTGAACGTGAGTGTGCGAGTGAACATGAGTGAGTGCGAGTGAACAAGAGTGTGAGAATGAACATGAATGAGTGTACGAGTGAACATGAGTGTGAGAATGAACATGAGTGAGTGAGAGTAAATATGAGTCAGTGATGGAACATGTGTGAGTGTGAGTGAACATGAGTGAGTGTGTGAGTGAACGTGACTGAGTGTGAGAGTGAACATGAGTGAGTGTGAGAGTGAACATGAGTGTGTGGGTGAACGTGAGTGTGTGAATGAACGTGAGTGAGTGTGAGAGTGAACATGAGTGTGAGCATGAATATGAGTGAATTTGAGAGTGAACATGAGTGTGAGAATGAACATGAGTGAGTGAGAGTGAATATGAGTAAGTGAGAGTGAACATGAGTGAGTGTGAGTGAACATGAGTGAGTGTGAGAGTGAACGTGATTGAATGTGAGAGTGAACATGTGAGTGTGA